AAATGAAAAAGTTTGTAACTTTTACGGATTTAGATTTATACTTTGTACTTTTGGCATTAATAAATTAAACAAAATTAAGGTATTTGAAAATTTCCCCTTTAAAAATCAAAACAATAATCGATTATGGTTTGTACCATATATGAATATATTTAAGTATCAGATGTATGTTTCTATTTTTAATGACTATCTACAGGTTAAAGAAAATTTTGATGAAAGAAAACCATAAACAAAGAATGATCTTAGTGTTAGTATATGCTTTTTTGTTCACACATTCCTTTTTTTTTTTATAAATCCAATAAAGGAAGAGGAAGAGCTAAAGGAGATATAGTGTTATTATGTGACATTATTCTACAAATAGTTACAAGAAAAAGAGAATGACGATCTTTGGGGAAGAGATATATGGAAGAGTAGAAGGACAAAAGAGTTAGACGCAAAACTTAATAGAAAAATAAAATTCGGGTAAACGTGATTTTATAAAGTGCAATTAGTGTCTAATTAACCATGGTTATGGTTAAAACATTGGTTTTGGCTTAACTAATTTTAGTTGGGGAATTTTAAAGAAATAATTAGTTTGTGTAGGAAATTGATCGGTCGAAAGAGTTTGGGTAGGAAATTGAAGAGAAAAAAAGTTTGAGGAGAAATAGTTTTAGTGGCATTAATAGGGGGTGAAATATACAGCCAACCCAAAATAATATCAAAAAAAGGTTCAGTTGATATGTAATGAAGCAATGAAAGTGGGAACTATTGTGTATGCATAATGTCGTTGCTAGCAACTCTGTTATTTGTGTCCCATATATTGAATGTACTGCTTGCGAGCAGGTCGGTTCCCTTTCATGATTCTAGAATTATCGTCGTAATTCTACTTTTTAATGATGTGAAGCAAACAAATTTACATATTAATTTACAAATTTACATATTAGTTCATCAAAATAAAGCAACCCATAAATTATTAGTTTTAGTGGGAAGCCCATATATATATATATTATTGTTTTTATATTTCATGGAAGAGTAGAAGGACACAAGAATTAGGCGCAAAATTTAATAGAAAAAAAAACAATGAGATACTTCCTTGAAAGTTTCCTAATGCAAAGCTATATTTAGAAAGAGATTTTCGGCCCCACTATGCCTAAGAAGTCTACCCCTGTTCTCATCAATTACAAGAATATTGGACATGTATCCGACGTGGTCTCAAACATAATCCGTCCTAACTTCTCAAATCAATATATTCTCCACTGGTAGTCTAAACTGGATGTCAAAATCTTAAATTACTAATTATAAGTAAGGGTTGGGATGTGACACGGGTAAAGACTGGGATATGACACGGATA